TGGGGTCGGAAACGTTTCCTTCTCTGCGTTGCACACATCCACTTTTACCACAAATCTAATATACCCCTTAACTCTTTTTTGAGTACGGGTATAAATACAACGAGAAGGAACGTTTGAGTCGCTTCTGGGGACGCGACTCTACTATACCCGTACTCAGTCAGTATATACATTTTTGAGCTTATGATTTTTAAGAATTTTAGAAAAAAAAAAATTTTACATTTTACATTTTTTTTCTACATATGATATCTACATCTACATATACAATGTATATTCTACATCTAACATGTAGATTGTACATGTTCCAATTAGATTCTACATCTCCTCCGCTAGGGGTTGCTCGCGCACTGAACGCGGCAGAGTGTGCGAGCGAGAAGGAAAATGAGTTGTGTTTTCGTTTGCCGGAGGGGGGCAGGGGAAGAAAATTAATTTCTTTATTCTGGCTATAATTATTATCCGATCTGATTCAGATTCGGCAATCTGGTAGATATGGGCATTCTCTACGATACTGCGTTTTTAGTTTTATCGTATCTTTAAAATTGTGCCTGCCACAGATTTTCGTCCTTTGTGGGGGCGGAAGGAGGCGGGGCGAAATTTTGAAATACACTTGTAGCAGTGTGATATCACATGAGTCTGGAAACCAAATTTGGTTACCCTAACTCTTGTAGTCCTTGAGATCCAGGCGCTCAACAAGAGACGGACAGACAGACGCAGACGGACGGACGGACAGACAGACATGGCTATATCGACTCGGCTATTGATGCTGATCAAGAATATATATACTTTATGGGGTCGGAAAATTTTCCTTCTCTGCGTTACACACATCCACTTTTACCACAAATCTAATATACCCCTTAACTCTTTTTTGAGTACGGGTATAAAAAATACAAAGGGTCTGGGTCGGATTTATAGCTGCGTCTGTCAGCTTTTTAGAACTGCAAAGTTCTATGCAACCAGATATAAGTTACTTAAGTTATGTGAAAAATAGAAGCACTACCTCTGAAAAAAAACAAAAGAAATACCAGATTTTAAAAAATTCTTAAACAAAAACTACACCATAAAAAAAAACCATTATTCGTTAAAAAATTGTAAGCCCCGCCCAAATCTATAAGAATCTATATTTTGGGCCACAGCCTAATTCTAGTGTTGACTAATGTAATTATTGAACATTTTTTTTCTCTTTTGTGGAAAATATACGCCAGGGGGAAATCATCCTTCTCTTTCTCAGAGAGAGTCTGGATCCAGTAAAGGATCCCACCGGGTGGGGCCATATCGGGGCATTGATTTCTTCGTCTTCTTACAAGTCCAAGACTGGGTATTCCATTTTCGTTCCCATCTGGTTGGTCATAGATCCAGGGTCGCTGGATTCCCACAGCTCCTGCTCCTCCTGCTGGCCAGATCCAGTAAATGATCCCAAGTGGTTGGATAATAAAGACGCATTCACCCAGCCGGTACTTGGCCCCTCCCTGCCAGTATAATCAGCCTCGAGCCAGGCCTCATTGACGTCATGGGAAAAGCGGGAATATTCCCCCAATGCACAATTTCCCTGCACATAGAATTGGCAAATGTCTTGACCTTGAGCCGAGTGTTGAATTTCGAAAGGGTCTGATGCGTTCATCTTGGAAACGGAGCACACAGGGATTGTACAAATTTTACAATTTTCAAGTTCAATTTTCAGGGGAAATTTTAAAGGTCAATGTTAAAGGACAATTCTGAAACCAATGAAGACTACTGAGAAAATATCGATTATATCCATGTTGATTAGGTGTAGCTGTGCTATGGTTTACGATAGTCCAGTCCAATACCACAATGTTTCCACTGCGCTGTTACTCGAAGGAAAATTGAGTTCCGATTTGTGTTCGAACAATACCCAAAAATGTTAAATTTCATAGAAATTTCCAAAATTTCGCACAATAAATTAGCTCTTAAAAGTGATGCTAAAAGTGGATGTGTGTAACGCACAGATGGAAACGTTTCCGACCCAATAAGTTGTATGTATGTATATATTCTATAGTCTACTAGCAGACCCGCGCGTTTCGCTGCTTACTAAATGAATTTAATGTTTAGGAATTTGTCTGGTTTCCCGGCCTCATATTCCCCAATAAAAGCCTCAAAATAGCCAGTGGAGCAAATTAACGTAATCTCACCTTTGTTTTCTATTTGCATTGCCCACTGCATATATATATTGTAACCGATTATAATTACTCACGGCAGCGGCCGTTCTTTCGCCTCTTTATATCTCCTTCTTCATTTGCTACTGCAGCTTCAGCATCTATACTGTTCTATCGCATTCTCTCTCTCTATCTATCGCTCGTGCTCGGCTCAGCAGCAGCCGAGCTTCTATCGCTTCTTTCGTTCTCTCTCTCGCTTGCATTAGGGAACGGGCAATTCGGTCCGCCTCCCTCTAGTAGTCTTTAATTGATCGTCATCATTATCGCTTTCACGTTCTACTGTCTTGATCAATCACTCACTTCTCTCGCATATTGAACAGACCCTGCGTCTTCAATTCTCGCTTTGATTTGATCAACCGGTACCCCTCGCTTTATTTCGCTACACCTCCGCACCCCATATATTTCGCCTACTTAACAAATAAACTGTACACACATAAAGTATATTGAATCGCTCGACTTCATAATTTAATCTAAATTCAACAGCTAGTGAAAAAGCTCGCTAGCTCAACAGAATTCATCGAAATTAATAAATGATAATTTTGATGTAATGACATATTTTATTTATTGCAATGCTTTTTGATAAACAATATTTTTATACCCGTACTCAAAAAAGAGTTAAGGGGTATATTAGATTTGTGGTAAAAGTGGATGTGTGTAACACAGAGAAGGAAACGTTTCCGACCCCATAAAGTATATATATTCTTGATCAGCATCAATAGCCGAGTCGATATAGCCATGTCCGTCTGTCCGTCCGTCCGTCCGTCTTGATGAGCGCCTAGATCTCAGAGACTATAAGAGCTAGAGCAACCAAATTTTGTTTCCAGACTCATGTAATATCACACTGCTACAAGTGTATTTCAAAATTTCGCCCCGCCCCCTTCCGCCCCCATAAAGGACGAAAATCTGTGGCAGGCACATTTTTAAAGATACGATAAAATTAAAGACGCATTATCGTAGAGAATGACCCTATCTACCAGACTGCCGAATCTGAATTAGATCGGATCATAATTATAGCCAGAATGAAGAAATTAATTTTCAGTTTGCTCCCCTGCCCGCCGTCCGACAAACGACAACGCAACTCATTTTCCTTCTCGCTCGCACACTCTGCCGCGCTCAGTGCGCGAGCAACCCCTAGCGGAGGAGATGTAGAATCTAAATGGTACTTGTATAATCTACATGTTAGATGTATAATATACATAATATATGTAGATGTAGATAACAGATGTAGCAAAAAAAATGTAAAATGTAAAACTTTTTTTTTTAATTCTAAAATTCTAAAAAATCATATGCTCAAAAATTTATATAGTGACTGAGTACGGATATAGTAGAGTCGCTTCTTTAGAAGCGACTCGCACGTTCCTTCTCGTTTGTTTTGCCGTCGGTACAATGAATAATTAATGCCGAAGGTTTGCCTACTCGTGAGCACGCTACAGTTGACCATGTGAAAATAGCGGATGCTCCAAATTTAAACCACAAATTTGCAACGACTGTCCTTGTGATTTATTAATAATCATAGCAAAAGCAAGACGAATCGGAAATTGTAGTCGTTTGAAATCAAATGGCATTTCAGTCGGAATCATCAGAATTCTCGGAATTAAAACGTGTTCACCACAAAATTTCCCAGTCAAAATAGTTGCTTCAAGTAAATTAGTCATAACTTTTTTCACAGCAAGTCTTGTACCATTGCAAAGTCGTGGTGGATTAAGATTCCGTAGCATAATTATGGTGGCTCCAACTTTTACTTGTAAATAGTATGGCGCCAATCCAGGTAGGTCCAATGAATTTAGAAATTCGACTGGATTAATAATTTACAACATCATCTTGATTGATAACACTACTTGACAAAATCGAACTTTTTTTTCCTCAAGGATCCAAACCGAATTTTTCTGATAGATATGGGGCTTTAAAATTTTTTAAAGAATTATGATTTTTTTTCTTTGGCAGAACTTTTTTTTGAAGAATTTTTGAAGTCTGGTATTTTTTTTTAAGCTTTTTTCAGAGGTAGCGCTTGTTTTTTCACATAACTCTAGTATCTACGTCTGGTTGTAAAAAACCTTGCTATTTTTAAAAGATAATTAAAACAGCTAGAAGTTGAGCCCAAACACTTTGTGAGAAATATAAAGCATTGAAATGCAAAAATGATGATTTTTGTGCGGTATTTTTTAAGAAATTTTGACTTTAAAAACTCGCTCATTAAAATCTATGGAGAGACTTAAATTTAATTTTTTCATATTTTAGGTTTGGTTAACGAATTTTAGATCCAAAGTCTCTAAATAGATTTTAATGAGCGATACTTTAAACGACGCCAAATTAATGCACTTATATACAAAAAAATAGAGAACACAGGATATCATTTTTTTTCGACTTTTCCTGAGTTTTTAAAGTCAAAATTTCGTTAAAAATACCGCACAAAAATCATCATTTTTGCATTCCAATGCTTTATATTTCCCAGACGGTAAGGTGAACTCACAAAGTGTTTGGGCTCAACTTCTAGCTGTTTTAATTATCTTTTCAAAATAGCAAAGTTCTTTAACCAATAGTAAAATACTAGAGTTATGTGAAAAAAACAAGCTACCTCTGAAAAAAAGCTTAAAAACAAATATCAGTTTTCGAAAATTCTTAAAAAAAAAGTCTGCCATAGAAAAAAAAAAACATCATCAAACCATTTCTTAGCCCTAAATCTTTAAGAAAAAGTTCGTTTTTTTCTTTGAGGAAAAATCGTGTTGATTAGTGTAGTTCTATCAACCGACCTATACGCAACCATTTCTTCTGGGATGGAATTCAAAATAGATGCGTTGATCTCATTGACATCTTTATTTGTTCCGGCCAAAATTGCTCTTTCCCTCAACCAGTCATGGTTTCTATAAGTTTGTACAATATTTGGAAACACGCTCTGAATCAAGTATTCCTTCGATGACACAAAAGTGCAAAAATTATTTGGAAGCGTTATGAAGCCAGAATTGTCAACGGGAAGTATGCCATTACCAATGTCTAACAGTTGTCTGGAAAAAAAAATCTGCTGAAGCATCGTTTTGCAATTGAACACGTACACTTGTAGTCAATCTAAGTGTTTTCACAGAGCGCCAGAAATTATATGTTTTCAAACACGCATTAATACCTCCAGCTGCATCCAAAAAGAACAGTCCACCATGTTGTTCTTCGATAGCTCGCAATATTTGGTCGTAAATCGTTCTTTGGTTGATATTTAACCGTGGCTCATTGTTTTGCACAAACGCACTAAGCTCGGCACGATCAAACTGCTGTTCACGCTCCAGTCCTTTGTTGAAAAGGTCGTGTATATGACGATTAGGCGCTGTCATACCTAATTGAGCTAATGCTTTGCTTGCCATCATCAAGCAAAGGTCTTCAATAGCAATCAATGCCTCGTTGTAAATTTCCGGCGTTTATATCACCCGTTTGACGGCGCAATCGATGTAAAAAATCCTCTGACAAATGATTTTGATGTTTTTGGCACAATTCAATTGGCTTTGCTGGACTGCACGTGGCTATAATAATTGCGAAAAGTGTCTGAATTTGATGTGGATGCATCACCCAATGCATGTCATTCTCCAGCATATTCAATCGTTCGCATGCTTCGCGATACGTCCCACACAATTCTTCATCAACAGTTCGCAAAGATTCAAATGATGTTGGTTCACGAACATTTATTAGCAACAATCGCCAATAATAGCACTCTTGATTGTTAGGATGAACTGTATAAATTCGACCTATCGCATCTGAGTGAAACAATACTGGCTGACCATGAACGGCTTTTCCGCGTCTTCGCCTTTGAAAAACTTTTGACGAATTATTCCACGTATAATATTCGGGTACTTCGGCGTATAGCAATGTTTTCGCAAAATCATCTGCTTGACACAACGAAAAAAATGCAGTTAGAGTTGTTGCTGGTGGTTGCGCAGCTCTTCGCATTGCATTTCCGGGTGTGAAAAAAACGCGTTGACCGTTTTCAGGATGAACAGCTAAATGAACTACAGTTGGATGCCTATCATGGATCGGGAATGATAATATGCGCCATACTGCTTCATTTGAACTGATGTATCTGCCCATTTGAAATTTAGTGATTTCATCGTTAACATTAGCAACTGCTCCAAAAACAGCCATATCACTGCCCTTGTTGATGTATTTGCAAATGTATTTAATAGATTGAACTGAATTGCAGACCTCTACGTTTATGTGCGCTTTATAAATCTTAGATAATAACGGTGAATATGGCACAACCCAACGATTATCAATCTCCAAATCTTGATTTTTAACTCTCAAAGTTACCGAATGGCCATTATCTTCAGTTGATCGACGCCGATATTCGGGATATCCATCGTTGCCCGTCACTGTATCGGAGACCAAATTTTTTGGAAAACGTTTGGAGCATTTCCCTTCAACCATACAGGGTGAATTCAAATTCAACGCACCACATGGACCGTGAATCATATTTTTGGTGACCACTTCAAACAATTCAGGATCCACTGTCGGATCTGGAATTTCTGCCGAGATCACATCGTCAATTTGATTCGGCCTTATTTTTTCAATCAGCCAAATTAAAATTTCAATTTTTTTCTAAAACGCAATTGAAACGCCTTGCATGTTCGTCAACCGGTGTTTTATCAGCTCGAATAACAATTTTATGATCGTCAGATGGCATTCGATCAAGCGATGTTTTGAAAACCTGAACCAATTCGTTGTGCTCATTGAACATATTTTGCAAATCGAAAATAATTTGTCTCCGCGTGTTGGTAATAATGGCACACCGACTATCAGCTTCGTCTTCCGCGTTCCCGATAAAATATAATTGCAAAAATTGGTGGTCTGCATGCTCGAAAGTTAACAAAGAGCCAGCTCGATGGTATATTTGACCTTGAATCTCAATAAAATATATGATAGAATGAGAACAAACGTACAATTTGCATAAACAAAACTATTTAATTACCTTGAATGTTGGCATGAAGTTCTCTTATAATATTTGTGGCGCCAAAAGATGTCATTTGAAAACTCGAATTATACTTTCGTATATTGTTCAAAAAATGATTAGACTCAGGTGTCAATCCATTAAATAATGTGCTCAATGGTTGTGGTGGGCTGCCTAATTCAGGCAATTTCACTTTACCACTCGCACAGCACATCCCATCTGCTTCACCTTTAAATTTTAATGCCTGACAATGGCGACAACGGTCGTTCATTGGACCAATTATAATTTGCCTATGAGAAGCGTAATCGGTGACACTACTGTACGCGAACGCTACATCAGGTAGATTTTGAATATCACGACGTTCATTTGCAGTTGTTGCTGCATCATTGTTCCGTTGATTCGAACGGGACCTATCATCAAATGTTATGTTCTACAGAATGACACAAAATAAAATGAAATAGGCGTTCAAACACACATTTTTAGACCAAATTTGTTCTACAGAATGACACAAAATGAAATGAAGTAGGCGTTCAAACACAAATTTTTAGACCAAATTTTAGATTTTTTTTTTTATTAATTTTTAATTTTTGTTCAACCTATACATAGAAAAGTGAACACTTTTGTAAAGAAAGAATGCCGCATACTCTGGCTATAAAATTTAAGATTTTTTTGATTCATTTTTAATTCTTGAAGCCTATTTATAGAAAAGTACAAATTTGTTTGTGCAAACCAGGTCACATTCTCTGGCTATCATTTAAAAAAAAACAGCATGCAATTTGGTGCACGCGTTGCGGAGATAGCCGCTTACACACAGATTTTTTTCTACAAATTTATAGTATAGAATGAACGGAAATCAAGGCAACATAAAACTGTGGCTGACTAAGAGGACGGCATATACTATTCAATTAATGGCAGTAAATGGGGTGTCTGTGTCTCAATTGGCACCAAAGAATGTAAGAAATTAAATTAAATCAATAAAATTGAGTAATTTATTTTATAATTATGTAATTACACCATGACCACTACGACATTCATTAGATCTTTCAATGCATATAAAATCCAAAAATGTGGTCTATGTTTCTGCAGCAATTTGCACGTGACCATGGTTGATAATAATAATATACGAAGGGTCTACTTCAAAACAAGCAGAGAACAGTAGTTCTACATGAAGCTTATAATTAAAAAATACACATGCTTTTATTTTTCAAACATCGATAAAAGTCAATGTTCATTAGGGTTCAATGTTTCCATCACTAAAACAACGTCACAGACTTCCATTGAATGAAAAATCACGAATTAAAGCAGGCACTGCCTCTAAGTTCTATCACTTTCTGATGTGTGCGACAGCCAGCCAGAGAGCTCAGTACAATTTTACATACACTCTAAGCAGAACGCACACGTATAAAAACTCTCTACTATTTATTTGAAATTCTCGGATTTTTCTCGGTCTTTTTGGTCTTTTTGGTGAAAGTAAGCCAAGGTAAAATATACATATATATTTGTATACCCGTACTCAAAAAAGAGTTAAGTTGTATGTTAGATTTGTGGTAAAAGTGGATGTGTGTAACGCAGAGAAGGAAACGTTTCCGACCCAATAAAGTATATATATTCTAGCCATGTCTGTCTGTCTGTCCGTCCCGATGAGCGCCTAGATCTCAGAGACTATAAGAGCTAGGGCAACCAAATTTGGTTTCCAGACTCATGTGATATCACACTGATCATAATTTCGCTCCACCCCCTTCCGACCCCACAAAGGACGAAAATCTGTGGCAGCCACAATTTTAAAGATACGATAAAACTAAAACCATATCTACCAGATTGCCGAATCTGAATCAGATCGGATCATAATTATAGCCAGAATGAAGAAATTCATTTTCAGTTTCTTCCACCGTCTCCCCTTCGTGAAACACGGTACTGATTCTCTTTCTCGCTCGCACACTCTGCCGCGCTCAGTGCGCGAGCAACCCTAGCGGAGGAGATGTAGAATATGAATGGAACATGTACAATCTACATGTTAGATGTAGAATAGACATTGTATATGTAGATGTAGATAACAGATGTAGCAAAAAAACCTAAAATGTATTTTTTTTTTCTAAAATTTTAAAAAATTATATGCTCAAAACTGTATATACTGACTGAGTACGGGTATAAGTAAGTCGCATCCCCAGAAGTGACTCACACATTTCCTTCTCGTTTTTTTTGTTTTTTCAAAATAATACGAAACAAGATTTTTCTAAAATTGTGCGTTTCTTTTCGACGGTTTGCCGCCAGGCCATACAGCCTGTCAACATGTCCGTGTTATGCTGTGTTATGCTTCAAGCTGTCCCACACCCTGAAGGACTTCAACGGGCGCCTGCAAGAGGGACTGCCCGCATGGGGCCCCTATGCTCTGTTTTCAATCGCCACTATCTTCGTTGGCGCCGCATTGGGACTGCTGATTGAGTGCCTTGTGGACTTTGCGTATCCACCAAGAAATCCCAGCGACAGAGCTTCTCAGAGTCTCAGGACAATCTAGCTGAGGGCGTTGAAGACCTAGCCACTGAGGAAATCGAAGCTGATAGCGAGGCTGACGACGACGACGATGATGATGATGATGATGATGATGATGATGAGGAGGAGCAGCAGCGGGACAGCGTCGAGGAAGAGCCGGAAGACGAAGAGGAGGAGAAGGACGAGGAGAGCAGCAAAAATATTTAAAAATTCCACATAAATCATAAGTTCACATATTTAATTTTCATTTGCTACCTCACCCCCTTCTAGTGATGCAGTGCTATGAAATGTTCAATGTGCGATCTTTCAAGGAGGATATACAGAATCTACGTTGAAGACAGATGTAGCAAAAAAAAAAAAAGGAAAATATTTAAAAATTCCACATAAATCATAAGTTCACATATTTACATATGCATATGTGGGTTGTGTTTTGCAAATCCCTAGACAAAACGAGCGTGAGCGAATTCGCTCCCAAGCGAATTCCCAAAGCACAACAGCAAGCACGACCGATGGCGAATTAAGACATCTGCACAAAGCAGATCGTGAAGAGAGAGGCCGAGGGAGTTTCGATCCAGCTGCCGACGTGAGAGGGTTGTGGAAAGAGACCAGACGACAAACGACGCTTAAATTATATTTCTTGTACCAAATACTATATTTCATCATTTATTAAACCAAAATCCCCACATTTTGGAGGCTTGTCCGGTAGTTGAGCGGAAGTTTTAAGGAACGCGTGGTAGAATTAAGCAAAAATTTATAAGTGACGGTACGACGACGGCGGTACAAGTTGCACAGCTTGAGAACAAAAACGACGTGGAAATTTAAAAGAGCGGAGAAAATAAAATAGACAATTTTTTTTTATCTCAGCATAATGACGAGTTTATTCCAAAAAGCCTTCGACGGGCAACGACGTTTCGAATACGACGAAGACGACGCCAGACTTGCAGCTAGGCGCGTATATATACAAGCAAAGCTAAAGGACCGTGATCTTGTTTCAATATGTGTTACATTGAGCATAAATCACAATGCGGAAAATATGGTACTCCAAATCTTTAGGAATCTGATGGAAGTAGAGCTGCTGCAAAACAACAACGACGAAGAGGACAACGATGATGAAGACGACACTGATAAAGAGGACGACGAGGAGGGACCTCCATCGACCGATGGAGCCGGATGACCCACGATGGGTCGGCGATCGGCTAGGGACACCGGAGCTGGAGACGGACCTGGAGTCGCGGCTGACGACTCCGAGCGGGCTGGACGCTGAGAGGACCCCGTCTTTGGGCGTCTTGCGGGAACACGTTGGCGGCGATCGGCTCGGGACACCGGAGCTGGAGACGGAGCTGGCGATTCCGAGCGGGCTGGACGCTGGACGGTCGAATGTGGAGCAGCGTGTGATGGTCCTTGTGGCACACCCTGCACCGGCCACCATGAGCCAGGCAGTTCCGGCAGTATTTGTTCACCAGCACGGCTCGGAGCCTCTTCGCCACGCTCAGCTTGAGAAAGCTACGGCAGTCCCGTAGTGGATGGCTTCCGGCGCAGACTCGGCAGCGGTAGGAAGCTTGTACTCGGGAGCGTCTGCTCCCTGAGGTGTGGTTGACACGGGGTTGTGGAGCCATCAGGATCTGGATGCAAAATGAACTGGTTTGGAAAAGAAGAATCGGAGAAGCATAAGTAATGTGCTAGGAACAGGTGATAGGCACTTCTCTAAGTACTGTTGGACGAACAAACGGGGGCATTTTGGAGGCGAAAAGAACTTGGATGGAATAGTAGACAAGGAGAGGCATTATTAAACGGGCTAGGCACAGGACGCCTTCCGTTATTGTTGTACGGGACGAGGGAGTTCCCCCGGAAGGAGAACGACTTTTGCGACCGGGCGTTTGAGCACACCGCGGGCAGTAAGAATGTCTACCCCCGAACCCTGTTGTCGACGCCGGGATACACGGACTGTACTCTTCCGAGTCGCCAGTCGTTAGAAGGCAGGTTCTTTCACGATAACCAAATCGCCGATCTGAAGATTTGGCATATCCGTCTGCCACTTGTTGCGCTTGTAGAGTTTCTGGAGGTACTCATCCTTCCACCTCTCGCAGAACTGCTGGTTGAGGGCCTTCAAATGCTGCCACCGATTAATGATCGATTAACACCCTACATGCGAGTGTTACTTTCCGGCAACACTGAATAAAACGTAGAACATATGCCCGCACTCGAAGAGCCTTCTCAAGCTGGGAGAATCGCTCCAGGAAATCTTCGGGGGGGCTGGAAACGAGATGGACCTTCACGGCCCGCTGCTCTAGGGTTTGAACTGGAGTTTCGGCGGCTTGGGCTGGCCATTGATCACGTGGAGATTGCAACCACGCTGGTCCATGCCACCAGAGTTGGCTTCCCACCAGTTCTGGTAAAGCGACGCCTCGACTGGCTAAGTCAGCGGGGTTATGTTCGGAACGAACATGAGCCCAATGACTGGTTTCGGTAGTCTGAGCTATTTTCGTCACTCGATGGGCCACAAAGGTAGTCCAGTGGCAAGCGGGCTTGCTCAACCAGGCCAGTACAATAGTAGAATCGGTCCAGTAGTAGCATTGATGACTTTCCGTCGGCATGCTTGGCAGGATAGCCGTCGCCATTTCGGAAAGGAGCACTGCACCGCACAGCTCTAGTCGAGAAAGCGAAACGGTTTTCACGGGAGCGACTCGTGTTTTCGCCGACAGTAGATGCACCGTGATATGCTGGTCACACTCGACGCGCACCTAGAGCGCTGCACCGTACGCCTTTTCGGAGGCATCGCAGAAACCGTGATGTTCGATCTTTACCGATGGCTGGTAACATACCCATCTTGGAATCTTGATCTCGGGTAGTGATGCATAACTTTGCAGAATGTCCAGCCAGCGTTGGTACAACGAACTTGGAAGAGGTTCGTCCCATCCCAAATCTTGCAACCAGATCTCCTGCATAAAAATCTTGGACCG